ATGAGTCAGAACTAGTGCGTAAGCTAAGTGCGCTTCAGCGTGGTGATGTAGACGAGCAGTGGGATCAGATTAGGCGAGCAATGCATTTCGCAGCGAATGTCGCTTGTGGGTCTGAGCCTCAAACCCATCGGAGGCATTGGACATCTCAGGAGTCAGTAGTCCTGATGGAGCGAAAACGGCAAGTCCCGACCTGTCAGAATCAAAATAGAGTTAGGAGGCAGCTACAACGTCGGCTGACGAAGAGTCTCAAGAAGGACTGTGAGAACTGGTGGGCAACAATAGCTAGTGAAATGGAAGTGGCAGCTTCATCAGGGAATAGTCAAAGACTGTTCCGACTAATACGCAACACGGGAGGTCGGCGAAACCCAGTTAGGGAAACAGTCTGCGNGACGAGCTATTCACAATAGGGATCAACGACTCGATCGCTGGGCAGAATACTTCAACGAACAGTTCAACTGGCCTAGTGCTAACCAGGCTGCTTCATCTCCGACTGAAGCTCCGTGGGCAGTGTCATGCGATCCTCCAACGGAAGCAGAAGTTCGGTCTTGCATTCAATCTCTGAAGTGATGAAAGGCAGCAGGACCGGATGCGCTCCTTCCCACTCCTTTCAAGATGGGAAGTGATAACCTCGTAACCTCTATTACTACTCTACTGCGCAACATTTGAATGCAAGAGCACATTCCTTTATCTTGGGGTGAATCACTGATCGTTCCCACTTTTAAGAAAGGATCCCGGAACAGTTACGAAAACCATTGCGGGATAAATTTGATCCCGATCGTCACAAAAGTGCTGGCTTCGGTTGTACTTCGACATCTGACGCCTTCAAAAGCGACCAACATCCGTGAACAGCAAGCCGAATTCCGGCCTGACCGTGGATGTATTGATCAGACATTTACGTTGCGTCAGACCCTTGAGCTGCGTCATACTCACCGTCGGCCAACGATCGCAGTGTTCCTTGACCTGAAAGAAGCCTTCGACTCAGTTGACCGCGAAGCTCTGATCGGCTCCCTTCTTCGAAAAGGAATACCCCAGAAGTACGTTAACCTACTGAGGTCAATGGACTCACATACCTCCGGTCGTGTAAGGGTCTACAACGAACTAAGTAGGCTGTTCGTCAAGGGTGCTCTGTTTCGCCGTTCCTGTTCAATTTTATCGTAGAAGAAATGCTGGAAAGCGCACCAAAGGGAATCCAAAACGTAGGTATTGAATGGACAGCTGGAGAAAAGCTGTGCGATTTGGAGTGCGCCGATGACATCGTCTGTGTGTTCGAATGTATGGAGGACGTGCAAAGTGCACTTGATAGATTAACAAGTGAAGTGGCCACATTCGGTATGTGCTTTGCACCTTCAAAGTGAGAAGTGATGCTGCAGGACTGGATTCCGTCTACTTCCACTGACATTAAATAGCCAGTATTTAGATGCAGTGGATTACTTTTCCTACTTAGGTAGTGGCGTGACCAATGACGGTAGTACAACAAAGGAGATAACCGCCCGCATTTCCAAGGCTCGAGCAGCATACGCAGGTCTGAAACACCCTTGGCGTAGATGCGACGTTTCACTGACGTTGAAAGATCGTGTATATAGTACCACCGTTCGTTCAGTCCTGCTTTATGGTTGTGAGACCCTAAATTTGCGAGTAGAAGATATCCGTAGACTAGAAGCTTTCGATTATCGGTGTTTACGCAGTTTAGGCCATGTTGGATGGAGTGAACGGGTTGGTAACGTGGAGGTAAGCTGCCTTATGCTTGGGAGTCTGTCAGATATAAATCTGCTAGGATACCGAATTCAGATTGCTAGGCTTCGCTGGCTAGGGCACGTATTGCGTATGCCCATCCATCGTCCGCCGCACCGCGCTTTATTCGCTGTAGCTAATCCGGGCTGGAGGAAACCACGTGGAGATCAACAGATGACGTGGAGACGAGGCATAAAGAAATGCACAGAGCCATTAGGTAGAGTAGGTGTCTCTCACCTTCCAGGTTGGGGTCCGAAAGACTTCCACAGTTGGTTGGAGACATTGAAGGATATGGCAGCGAACAGGCAGCAGTGGCGTTCTTGTTGTCGTGTCTTATCAGGTCATAATGCTTGAAACGGTATGTATGCAGAGTTCGATTGCGTACTGTGTTGGCCATAGTGGCTCACGTTCTTCTCCCTCTCTCAAAATAAATCCAACCCCTGTCCACCTTAAATTTTACCAATAACGTTGTACGCATTGCTAGTTTGGCAGCGGTAAGTGAAGTTCGCTTCACTGTATTTCGCTGTACGGTGATGATGATGACTCAACACATAATAATAAATGTGGTTTCTGGTTTCAACAGATTGGGTGTGCGTCCAGATCCAAACCGATAATGATCAACCTCAGAAGGAAGAACAAATATAAGACTACCGAAGAATGAAAACTACTTACCGTCCGCAAAATGGGATAAATGAACACTGCTGCGTTGCTCACAAACGACATAATCAACATGCCTGGCGATGGGGTGGGTGTGGATTGTCCAATGGAAGCACTGACGCCACCGGTTCCTTCAGAACTGAAATTTATTGGAGCTTCTGAAGCAGTGTTTATTGTCAAACTAATGGACTCGCATCCGACCAACGCGCGAACCGATCGAAGTGAGGGAATCACATATGAGCTGGGATTCAATGAACCTGGGTCCAGGTCTGGACTGCTCCATGTGAACAGCAAGCGTTCAAGGTGAACGTGTTCAATGAGAACAGCGTCCGTCAGTTGGTAACCCGGCCATAACATTGACACGACTGTATTTGGAGGAGTTTCCAGCATCAACAGAAGTCGAGTGAGCCAATTTGGCAAGCCAGCCGAGGATGCTCCAGAATCAGACACAGGTTCCAATTGCGGCCAGTGAGCCATACAAGTATCCTGAAGTCGAACAGTTAATGTGATATCATCGCGATAGACAGGTACGCCTGTAAAGTGACAGTGCGGAAAAGGATTTTAGATTTGCAAAACAATCAATTATCAAAACCGACTGTGAAAAAAATAATAAGCATAAATCTTGATTTGGTTGCTTAAGAGAACGTTACACCACACCAACATATACAGTACATTTATTCTTCACATCAACCGCAGCTGCATGAACGACCAACACCGTTCACTTCAGTTCAGTCGGGTGCAGTGTATGCTCAGTTAGTGCTGCTATAAGGCACAGATAAATCGTCATTAGGAAAATATGATAAACACAGACGGTTGGTTTTTGAAAACCACAGTCTAGGTCGCACTGCGCGAGTCTGGTGGGGAAACTGGACGAGCAATGTTCAGGTTAGTCGCACAGTTTTAGGTAGCCGCGGTCTCTCACTGGATCAAGTGTTTGCTGGTTGGGACGCACTGCGTATATCCCGAAAAAGATTGCCACGGCACGTGCTGTTTGTCGAGGCAGGTGGAGGGTGAAAAAAGCCAAGGGTGGTCAAAGTAAGACGGGGCCTTAGGGTATAAAAAGCCCTATCCAGGAGACTTACCCATATACCTCGCGTTGGGTTTCCTGGATAGAGACATCGGGACTTATTATTATCACTATTACCGAAGGGGCCTAAGGAACAACTCGACAGCAAACACCTAAATGTACTTCGTTTCCAACATGAACAACTCTTCTATTTTCGACCATTAAAAGTCAGGTTGAATGGTTTTATAAACAGAAAAAATGAACACAGAGACGGTAGGTTTTTGCCATTAAGAGAGACGCATTTCGGCCCCTGTGATGATTGCGAATTCATAATGCTCTAACCGAATTACTCTTCAAAAATGTCTTCGAAAGCCTGTATAATTCGGTATGTCTTGAAAACATTGCAGTTCGTTCATTTCTGCTTAGGCAACAGTGTATTCGAACAACGACATAAAGGGCATTACCTAGATAGATTTTAGGCAATCTGTTGCACATCAACACCACCTTCGCACATCCAGTTTATCTGTATTCTGTACATCTATATTTCGGTGCCGCTTTCGCCCTATCGTTTAGCCTTATCCCTTAAATCACTGGTCGATTAGGATCAGTTGCTGAAACACGATGTTAATAACTGACGAACGCAACTGGAGCGCGGCTGACTGGGGGAAACGGACACCTATCATGCTTCATCTTATCAGAGGGCACAGAATTCTGCCGAAAATTCGGAGGTCTTCTGAGAAGAACCATTTATCCTCTTGGCCCATTTTGCGTGAGCCTAATGAGAAGACTGAAATGACAAATATGTGTCTAAAAAGCGTATAACAATAGACCATAAACTAGATATGCCAGTCACACTTTTGATGAATCGAGGTAAAATTAGCAAAACTTGTCCCGTAATAGGTGACGACCATGCAGAAAATGTGACGTACAAAGGACCAGATAGGAGGATTATGAGTGATTACTGTGCCAGGGGTCGGAAAAAACGCACGCCACGGAAACACCCGATTCAAATGAGATTTCGCACAAAATTGAGTGCTTTTACCTTTTTCAAGCGCAACGAGCTTGTCTATATTTGGGATGACCTACAGTGAATACAAGATCAAGAAAAGGTTGCAGGGCTACACCGATGTCAACAGTGTTCCAACAAACATAAAATGTGTCACATTACGCAGCTGATTGAGACGGCTGAAAATGTTTACCGATGATTTACTGAAAGGCATGGTGCCAACGCCAAAACAATAAAAAATAGAAGGATGCAGCTGGTTTGGAATACAGAACAAAGTGAAAAGAAGGTGAAACAGTTAAAAACGGGAAAATCGTAGACAGAGGAGATAACAAAATTGTAAATAAGTGTGTCATGTGATGCAAAGTCCAACGAGTACATTTATTCTTAAGATAACATCCGGTGATGTCAACGACCACTTAGGATACTTTTAGGCACCTATATGAATAGAAGCATACTCAAGCACAAACCAGCAAATCAATGCGCATATGTGAGAAATATCGGACAATGGGACTGGAATACTGATTATATTTTTCCCCATTTTGTAATGATTCACTCATTCTACCAAGCATTTATACATTGTGGTGTATTTATTATCTTGTAGATAAATCACCGCAAACGAGCCTAGTCGCTACTGCGCAATTCAATGAGACTTTCAGAAAACAAGTGAGCAAACGAATGCGCGCTAGTACCATGGGAGAAATGTGCAATATTTAATTCTTGCTTCACTCTTTAATTCATTATAGGAAAACAAGTTCGATAAGCATAAACTGCACCGTCTAACAAGTCAGTTGCACAGGAAACATTAATGTATCTCGGAAAAAGAACAGGAGTCCCAGTAAGATTCAGTACGGGAACAAAAATTTGATGCACGCAAACGAGACTTACCGGAAAGTGGATGAGGTCTCTGACTCTGGCAGTGTTCGACGGCTAAAGTGAACATTGGTCCCGAGGAAGTGCGAATAGTCGAATCAGAATTGAGACCGCCAAGTGTTTGATTTACCGGATAGCTGATCGAAGGCCAGGACAACCCAAGAAGACAAGGCCACCAAAGCGCGGTACTGCTGTCACCAGAAGCTTCAGACCCGGGGCCAGTTTCAGCTGGAAGGAAGAGAGGAAATAGAGCGACGGGAAAAAACACGCAGTGAATGTCAGTGAAAGTTTATGCCGAATACAGAGGCGGTTCAATTCCAGGCAAAGTGCTTAAGCCCAAGATATAAATAAGCTTTCCTGAATCTTGCTGCTGTGGTCAGATATGGATGTAAAATTGAACAAAGATCTAGCTCAGAGTAATGAACAGGTAGCCAACAAGCATGCTTCTGTTCACATCGCGAATGTTACTGAATAGAGGGAAACGGAAGGACAATACAAACCCCATTACACAGTAGTAACGACAGTGTGAAATTATGAGAAGTCAATCGACTGCAATTGAGTGCGCTGAAACCGCAGTAATTTAAATACACAGGCGGCATTTTCAGATGTCAAGCAAAGAAAGTCATGCTTTTATTCGTCTGGGAATTTTTAGGTATAGTAACGAATTACCCAACAGGTATCCTTAACATTTTCCTTCGAGAAAGAACATAGCCAAAGCACAGTCAATTCGGAAACATCGATCACCAAGCGATTTGAAGCATGTTTCCCTATATGCACACGGACAATCATCAGGGGGATGATTTTCGCGTATTCCAAGTCCAGAGCTCTGTTCTCGTGATGGATACAGCATGCTGCGGAATAGACTATCGTAAAGTTGAAAACGAATGGGAGTATGAAGAAGCCTTGTCCCACTCGACCGAAGACGACAAAGGATTGCAAAAGCTAGCCAGAGACCATAAACAGATCTGAAGTGTGGCGATAAAACTCTGTGAAGGTGAATGATTATTACTACAATGCTCAACAGAGAGTTCCATATTGTAGTGCTGTTAATGCAATCGAAGGCCGAACAGTTGTTCCATACCACAATGATCGTTGGGCGTCGAAAAGTATGGCGGTGCGCTAGCGATTCTCCGAAAGTAAACATTTGATCGATAGTTTGCTGACCGGCGCGAAGATCAGCCTGATCCTCACGGGTATGCTCATCAAACGTACTGTATCATCTGCGAAGGCTTGTGGACCATAACATCTTTGATGCTATCAGGATCAGGATTATGCTTCTGTGGTTGGCGCAACCGACGCATGAACAGTTTTGAATGTTTGAAGACAACAATCGATCCCCTCTCCGACGGAAGAGTCCCTACTAATAGCTTCGAACCCAGAGCTTGCAAGGATCTACCACGACGAGATAGCGTGAAAGAGAGCTGAGAATCACACAGAAGGAGTTCCAAAGAATCAAGCTAGTGAAATTGGTGTTCGCGATATCACATCCAAAGTTGGAACAGATGTCTTTGAAGAAATTGTGCATCGTGCTCATAGTATTAGATCCGTAAAAGAATGTTTGGATTAACCACAACGAGACAAAACCAAGAAACAACAATTTTCGGTTGACGACGTTTCGACCCCCTTGGAAGGTCTTTTTTCAAGTTAATTAACAAGTGAATATTAAACAAAAATCGTGAGAGAAACCGTATCAATTGGAGGTGCTTTTGATTGGTGTAGGGGGAGGAACAATTGAGTTGATGTGTGTGTGAGGTAATAAATGAGATCATCATCACACACACACACAAACTCAATTGTTCCTCCCCTTAGACCAATCAAAAGCATCTCCAATTGATACCGGTTATCTCACGATTCTTTTTAAATGTTCGTTTATTATTTGGCTTGAAAAAAGGCCTCCCAAGAGGGTCAAAACGTCGTCAACCGAAAATAGTTTTCTTTTGGTTTTGTCTCGTGGTTAATCCGAACATTCTTATACGGATCTAAAACTGGTGGTCGCTTTATAATATCAATTATTCACTTGGTATGGCTGCAACGTAAGTCACTGAGCAATAGACAATGATCTCTGTTTGTTAAAAACATCAGGCAAAAGTGAATGGTTGGCGTCATGAAAAAGGAAATTGTGAGCATTCCTTGGAAAAGTACCAAAAAGAAGAAATGGTCTCAGATCAAGTAATTGCAAGCACTGAAGGTTAAAGTTTATGAAAAAAAAACTATAAATGCCAACAGACAGACGGAACACATTTGACGGGAAATAGGTCTTCACTGACAGCATTTCACGGTATAAGGTTAAGACTGATTTCACTCGTCACTGTGTCTTTGTATGTGATTAACCGTGCACTAAAGGGAAAAGACGAACTTCGGGAAACGTTTACACGAGGTCGCAGTGGTGGAAATTCCGAGCATGTAAAGGGATCGAATGTCATCTTCAGACAGTTCATTCAGGTAAATTACCCGCTTAACTGCAGATCGACTTCATTGAGGCTGGCTGGTCTGGATTACATTCCGTATAGATTATTCAGTCAAAATAATTAATTACACACATCTGTGAGTATGAAGGCGACCTGGCGCCAATGGACCCGGAAAAAGTAATAATCGCCGAAAAAGTGAGGATAATTAGTCATAGCAAGAGATGACAGTTTTCTCATCATTGATTTTAGTGTGTTTCGAATAAGCAAAAGTACACGAAAAATACAAGCCTTACGTCTCCTACATGAGGAATGAAAGATTCAAATAGTAGAATTTCAGAATGTATTGGGCAAGATCTATCGATAGAGGGATCGGAAATTCGTCCAGAAAACAAATGTAGTCTGGTAGCAACAGTCCTTTAACTTTTCGGATGACCGCTAATCTGTGGCACACTAGACAGTGAACGAGACAGAGCGCTTGTTGAACAGCAGTAAATCCGTTTACCAAAAATGGTGTGAAACAGCAGCATGGCGGATTACAATATAGTTTGAGGAAGCTGTTCGAATGGAGAACAGTGGTATTTACCCAATGCTATTGGGTTCCTGTTCATCGAGATAACGCAACCTATATTCACCTTGACACTGATCTGAACATTCCGATCTTCCCTTGATTCTTTCATCCAAATGAGTAATCATGAGAGAGCAAACAAAACGGCACAGGAAAGTACACGCTTAATTGATATCAAAACTGTAACCGAGATAACGGATTTAGGGGTCTGAACGCATGGAGTTTCGGATTTCGAAGCAAGTTTGACTAACTGAATCACCAGTTCAGTTCAGTCACTTTTAGTTTTACAACCATTAACCATGCACTTTTATGCGCCGATTATGGTCGCTGTCTCATGACTGCCCATTTGGATGAAGGAGTACAGGAAGGATTAGAATGTTCAAATCAGTATCAGAGTGAAAAGCGAAAAATCAGAAAAGAGTACTGATTAGATGTACGAGCCACTATATAGGACAAATAACGCTCTCGTGCTTGATTAACGTCTCACTAACTTGTGGGCAAGACTTTTGAGTCCATATGAGTTCCTCAAGAAAAAAATTACCGGCCGTCGATTCGCCAACAGGATAGTCTTCTAGGCTGCAATTGTAATGAAATGGTGTCCGTTACATCTGTGGCAGTGAATTTTCTCTATGTGGAATTGGGTCTACTGAATTTTTCCATTACTTGAGCGAGGCCTGTGGTCAATCCGATGCCAATAGATGATAGCTCGGAAATGGAGAAAAAGGCTACGCATCGAGGTGATCAACCAAGAACGAGGAACAATACTGTTGATGTATTTTTTGGTACGGCAACACAATTGGGAATGCTGAGTAAAACGATGGCCTACGTCTTTTGTGGTACGGATGACGAAACAAAACGACTGTAATAAACTGATTTCATCAGTCACTCGATTCTGTGATCAGTGATGGACTGGCATCAGTAATTTACAGTTAACGCTTTACGAGCAAACCATTTAAACCAGTGGAATTAACCATTAGCACGCCGATCAACACGTGACATGTCCGCATGAGAGGGACAAATACGAAAAAAAGGAGTTCAAAATTCATTGTTCTGTAAATCGCATCAAAGCGAATGCTATGTTCGGCTGGTCGATGACTGGCATATGGAGCCCCTCCTACGGATACCATTGTCGATTTGTAATACTGTCTGAATCCTGGAGTCATCCAGATGGCAGGAAATAAATGATATACTGCCAATTTTGGATCACGAGGTTCGTTCAGTACTCTGCTTATTTTATGGGCTGCGCAGCTTTGATCTGATAATTTATGGCGGTAAACTTCTCGACGATAATTGGAGCAAAAAAGGATAGAGTCTGAAAACGAAAAACCAACATCAGATCTATAATCGGATCAGTGAACCACCAACAGATAATTTACGGGGGATCCCGATTCGCAAACAAGCAAGAAGAAATGTACAAAACAGAGTCATACATCATCTTCTTACTAACAGTGGTGAGTGATTTCATTGGACAACAACGTTTATGGGAACCTTGGACGTTTAACCCTATCACAAAGGTACAAGGTAAGATGAACTGCATATCAGACCCCCCAAGGCGAAGCTTCGGCTCCAGTTATGAATTAATCAAGAAAATTCGTTCCCTTTGGCCAAGATAAGCCGACGAGAAAATCTGGTGCACCAAGTTCCTTGTTATAAAGATTTCTGGACCGCCACTGAGGAATGTCTGTGAGAAGTGCTGGGTAGAGAAATGTAGAGAGATGGAGAAGGCTGGGGCTATCGGTATTAGTTTAATTGGGGGGTACAGGTCGAAAGGAAGTAAGCTCACGTGAGGTGATTAAGGAGTCTGATGGCACACTGATTCACGTTCAGAAATGCCGTCTAAATCGATGGGCAAAACATTTGAAGGCTCAGTTTAGCTGGCCCCCGTCGACACGAGACCTCCCTATACCCGCTTCAACTGTGCGAATACTGTCTTTTGACATCAGTCCTCCATGTGAAATGGAGAACACTTGAGAAATGAAATATCCCAAAAGAGAGAAGGATTCCGGCCACGACGGGCTGTCCCATCGGCTTTAAAGCATGGGGGCTCAGCCTTGGTTTTGGGAGTCAACGAAACTCCTGGACTCAGTGTGAGAGACGTTCCGAAGAAATCGAGTGAATAAACGATCATACCGATTTACAAGAAGGGCGACAGGTCCTCTTGTGAAAACCACAGAGGAATTAGTTTAAACAAAACCGATTCTAAACTTCTATCTTGTGCTTTACTCCGTTCGTTGTCTGCCGCACGTAAGGAGTGC